GGGGGGGGGGGCAACTGCCAATTTCTTTTCGAATCTCCTAATATCCCTAAATAATAAAAAATTAAGAGCATACTGCCAGAAATCAGCAATGGCTCATTAGAGTTGCCATGTTGCCAGGATGCCAATGGAGAGAATGTGTGTAAGTAGCACAAGTAAATGATGTAATGGTCTGCTGCAGTTTGAAACACCAAAAGCCCCCAAATCTGGTCACCATGTTTTTTTGGTTTTACTTCAGTAAGAAATTGGATGCCCTGAAGCTGTGGTCATGCCCAGAGTCTTCATTCATTTCAGCACGTGGGCCAGATACAATCTACAATGCCAGCTGTAACAGGAATTTTCTCAGCATTGAATCTGAGTTCTTATGCATGGAAGGCAACTAGAGAATGGCTGTGACGTCAGCTGTGTCACATATTCAGATGGGCCATCAAACATGATTTATGTACCTCACTAGCTGGTTCACACATTAATCCCAAATCAAACAAACTGCATTAGGGCTCCACTCAAAGTATGAACCTTGTTCACTGCTTAGTGTAGAGGAAAGAGGGAATGGCCTTGAGGGACAGGAGGAAGAGCTGCTACCAAGGCAACAGTCAGATAAAAAGGGGCTAAGACTGGGCCAAGGAAGTAGTGTGTGTAAATGTCTCAGAGAAGCCTCTCCCTACGGAGGTAAAGGGTGGGGGGGGAAGGGCATTCAGAGTTGCGAAATTCTGTTACTGTAGCTTTACAATAAAAGTAGTACTGACCTACATGGCATGGGTTCCCTAGTCTGGTCTACCTTGAAGGGCTGACAGTCACTATTTCTCAGCCCCACCCACCGCACAGGGTAGGTGTTACAAAAAACTGGAGCAGCAGCACTAGTCGGGTCATCATGATCTTTGAGAGAAGAGGAGCCCCTTCAATTCTGGCTGACCCACTGGCCATTTCCATGGTGATTCCAAAGCAAGAAAGAAGCATTCGGAGATCCAGATGCATATTTTCGTGTCCTGGTCAGGTTCAGCTGTCAAAGAGATTCATTCGCTCGTCTTCCTGCTTCCCCAACCCAACGTACGAAAGCATCAGCTTTCCCAAAGCGTGCATTTGACCTGAACAGGCATCGGCTGGAGCAAAGTCCCCATCAGAGACAAAGATTAAGTCTGCCTCCTCTTTTTTCAGAGGCAAAGGAATGCAAGTTTGGTTTAATCTATCAGCATGTTCACATTAAGCACAGAAGTGAAGCATATCTGTGCTTGACTTACCTTTAAAGAAAAACACTTCGCCACGAATATTAGCAATAGCATCAAACCCGGCCATACAACGATCAGGTGCTGGCAAGTGAGGCCTGAAAAGAAGAGACAATTAATATGAGGACCGATTAATTCATCTGGGTTAGGTTGAGACCTCCAGCACAAGGTACGGCTAATGATTTTATAACCCATTTGCTAAACTAGGCTTTCCCCATTAACTCTGGATGTTTCTAAACTGATCCCCATAAGCATCATGACAAAGCTATTCTGTTCCCCTCATTAATGGATTTCTTTATGGTAGGAGGAAAAAAAATAGGGGAAATAGTGGGAAGATGCGGGGCAGTTACAAATGGAAGTCAACTGTGCTGCCTCCCATCCTAAATTCCATGAATGAGGCCTGGTGGTTCACAATAAAAGCCTTGTCTAGAATTGCCCTGTGCATCACTTCCTCCTCCTCCTCCTCCTCTGCTTCCCATAATAGATATGCATATAAGTGTTACTCTCCCTGGACTTTGCATGACAGCATTATAGTTACCCCTCCTATTCTTGATTTTTTTTTTTTTGGTCTTGCCCCTCTCTCCACACAAATCCCAATTTGGAAGAATTCAACAATCTGCTCCCAGCTGCACCAACATACATGGACAAGAGCCAAGGGCCACGTATGACCTCCAGGCTGCTGAGCTATGATGGAAGGTGACTCTTAGGGTTTGTGAAAGTAGCAAATAGTATGTCTGCGTGTAGGTGAATGAAGACTTAAATTTCTAAAAATGACTAGCACAACAATCTTATCTTTTGGCAGCTGATTCAAGTTTCCTCCATCACCAGCTGCCAAATGTCAGAGTCTTAACTCTGTTGTCTAGGGGGCTGCTCATCTGTTGGCTATGGTTTGAGAATAAAAGGTCGATCCTTCATTTTCTATCAGTCAAAAGGAAACACTGCTGTTGATTAAGGTTTTTTTCTTTCCCTGGGTGCCTGGCCATTCCCAGTTGGTTCTTCCAGGCTGCTATTTCAGTTGGCATTAGCACAGCCCTTTGAAGCTGAATCTAGATTGCAACCAGACGATCGCTAACTTATTGCACTTCTGCAGCCTTGATCAATATTGAATCGTGCTCTGGTTTGGCTCAGTGCCTGGTATTATATGGAAAAGGCTCTCGTTGCATCAAGCTTACAAGAGCCAGTGAGGGAAGGGAGAATTAGCGGGATCATCAACCAAACAGGAAAGAGACTCACTTGTCTCTGGGCCTGTCCGGCGGTAGGTCTGGTATTGGGGGCGCTGTGGGGACCGGCAGTGCTGGAATGTCTTCATCTGGATATGAACTGTGAGGCCGCCTACCTGCAATGCAGGAGAGAAATAATGAGGATGCTGCAGATCAAATGGACAAATAGCCAGTATGAGATATTTTCTGACATGAGAAAAAGAGAATGAATGTGTAGATGAGTGTTTCTTGACCTTGGCAAGATGCGTGGACTTCACCTCCCAGAATTCCCCAGCCAACCTGCATCTTAAAGTTGCCAAGGTTGGGAAACACCGGCGTAGATCAAAAGAGGAGAAAAAAATAAGAGCAACTTCCCCAAATTCACCCCTAATAGCTTGCTAGGTACAACATCCATGATCCCCAGTTATTGTAGTCATTGCTGGTTGCAGATCATGTGGGCTACGTGATTAGGTATGGTTAGAAAAGCATGAGAGGAAAGCAACAGAGAAATGGCTGTTGCTACAAGTAAAATAACATGTTATAAAAATTAAGTTTACAAGGAAAACAGAAAACACGTAGGTACCCATTCCTAACCATGATAACACCACAATGATGAAATGGGTCATTCCCACTGAACAGAGACGGCTGCAGACTAGCTGATGAACCTCCATTGATGGTCCACAGGCCATGGTTTGAGAATCCCTGCCTGGAGGGAATCGTCATATTAGCTTGGTTTGTGATCATTGTGGGTGTTTTTCTTGACATGACTGGGATTATGTGGTTCAACTTTCAATTGCCCTTGGCTGCCATTGTGTTATTGTGTCATTGCTGTTTATTGTTATTATTCATTATTTTTGTTCTGGTTTTAATCCTCTGACTGCCACCCAGAGTTGCAATTATGAGATGGGCAGCTATATAAATCAATATAACAAATTGTAGGTAAATCTTTAAAGAGAATCTTTTTAATAGCTAAAGTTTAGCCTAAATTTATGTGTATGTTGCAGCTATTTGGGGAACAGCAGAGATATTTGTTTGGAATCAGTTGAAGCCAAGTTTCTAAGATGTAGTTTTTTTTTCAGTTCCAACATATGCTGGTAATATTCTTTTATGGCTTAGAACTGACACCTGAATTCAAATTCAGGAACAGACTTTTTTCCTGAACTTTTGGATCAGATTTTTTGATCCAATGCTAATGGTTTGATCTCCTGCTTAATGAATGACCCTTTAATCAGCCAATGTAAATTGATTTTCTGTATTTCTCTCTTCAGCTATGAGTTGATATGAGTTTGGACATGATTATCAGCATCCAGTAAACAATGCTGAAAAGTGAAATATAACTTTAATAATTCCTATTTAGCAAACAAAAGAGCTATCTTCTCTTTCTGTAATGAGATAGGTACAAGTTACCTGAGTTAAATCACCATTTACAAGTACAGAAGTTTCTTATCAACTAGATTGCGTGCATTAACTACAGTAGAGAATGATTTACACCCTTATACAAAAACTTTCAGGGAAAGCGTCTAGTTTTTATGTAGTATTTTTACTCCAAGGAGTAAATATATTTACTCCAAAAAGTAAATATAGCAAGGTATCTAACAATGGCTGTGCACTATAGACTAAAGATGATGTGATTTAGCTTTTAATTTTCCCCTTCAGCTTTTTAATGAAGGGTCGAATATTTTGTTGTTGTTTAGTCGTTAAGTCGTGTCCGACTCTTCGTGACCCCATGAACCATATTGCGCCAGGCCTTCCTGTCCTTCACTGTCTCCCTGAGTTTGCTCAGTTTCATGCTCATTGCTTCAGTG